AGGATGTGGGGAAAAGGGTACACTTGTACATTGCTGGTGGGACTGCAGATTGGTGCAGCCAATTTGGAAAGCAGTATGGAGATTTCTTGGAAAGCTGGGAATGGAGCCACCATTTGACCCAGCTATTCCCCTTCTTGGTCTATTCCCTAAAGACCTAAAAAGAGCATGCTACAGGGACACTGCTACATCGATGTTCATAGCAGCACAGTTCACAATAGCAAGACTGTGGAACCAACCTAGATGCCCTTCAATAGACGAATGGATAAAAAAAATGTGGCATTTATACACGATGGAGTATTACTCTGCATTAAAAAATGACAAAATCATAGAATTTACAGGGAAATGGATGGCATTAGAGCAGATTATGCTAAGTGAAGCTAGCCATTCCCTAAAAAACAAATGCTAAATGTCTTCTTTGATATAAGGAGAGTAACTAAGAACAGAGTAGGGACGAAGAGCAGGAGAAGAAGATTAACATTTAACAGGGATGAGAGGTGGGAGGGAAAGGGAGAGAGAAGGGAAATTGCATCCTAATGGAAGGAGACCCTCAGGGTTATACAGTGGAGGGGGTAGAGAGAGAGGAGGGGAGGGGAGGGGAGAGGTGGGGAGGGGGGAGGGTGGAGGATGGGAAAGGCAGCGGAGCACAACAGACACTAGTATGGCAATTTGTAAATCAATGGATGTGTAACTGATGTGATTCTGCAATCTGTGTATGGGGTGAAGGTGGGAGTTCATAACCCACTTGAATCAAAGTGTGGAATATGATATGTCAAGAAATTTGTAATGTTTTGAACAACCCACAATAAAAAATTAAAAAAAAAATAAAATAAAATACATATGGTTGTCAGAAAAAAAAAAAGCAAAAACAAGAAAAATATCCAAGTTATTACAGCTAGAATAATAATTAGTATGCAATTCAGTATTGCTCACCATCAGGGCCTTTGAGTTCCTTCTCTGAAATGTTTTGGGAACCACCTGGGTGAGGTGCCTGGAGCCATCTTGACTGGCTCTGCATTGCTTGGGCTCCTTTAGTCCCTTTCTGGCTATCTAGGCTGTACTTCCACAAGTGCAGGCAAGCCCTGGGTGTTCTCCACATATATGTCCCAAGCCTGCAGGATGGTGGCAGTTGACACTGAGCTCCCCAGTTGATCAAGGACATTCCTTACAAGGGAATGGAACTGCTTACTTTAGCACTGCCCATAGGCTGCTTGCCTACTGGGGGCCATATGTGGAAGGCAGTGTGCAGTCAACATTGAAGAAGATTCCATTCTAGGAATGCAATGATTATGGCCTAAAGATATGGTTGGAAGGTGTGTGGTAAAGTTAGCTGACCAGAAAGCTTTGGGTTAGATCTTAATTTGTGCTCATCAGGAAAACATTCTTGGGGAAACTCACTGGAAGCCAGTATTCAGGAGAAAACCTGATGGGGTTTAATAAGTAATGATGTGATCAGGGATATTAGGTTAGGGATGTGATATTAGGATAATGCAGAAGCAAGAACTATAATTGTTTCAATATAAATGACAAAGTCATAGCATATGTGTAATAACACCACTATTTTTCTTTTAAATAGTAATGAGAGATAAGAAATCAGACAGGAACAGTGCATTTGCAAATAAAGAACATGAAGAGGGCTGGGTTGTGGCTCAGTGGTAGAGCACTCGCCTTGCATATGTGAGGCACTGGATTCTATCCTCAGCACCACATAAAAATAAATATAAAATGAAGGCATGTGTCCAACTACGACTTAAAAAATAATAATAAAAAAAGAACATGAAGAGATGGTTCTTTAACCTCAACAGGAAGAGATGGTAAATGTACACTATGGAGAATTCTCAGAATGACTAAACAAATGTTTATGTACCTTGCCTTATTATAATTTATTCTAAGTCTTCATCAATAAGTTTATTATATCTTACAGAGGCCTATGAATTGTTTCAAAATATTTTCAATTTAATTAACTAAGTGTTTAAATAGACTGAGAGCCCGGTTTTTTAACAAGGCCCATTTGCCCACTGTAAAGTACACCAATTGCTGAAACAACGAATTTTGCAATAATTTATTTTCAAGATGGCGAAGTATAGAGATAGGAGACCCAAGTCTCAAATCTACATCCAAAGGATGGGGTTTGGGGATATTTATGACATAAAGAATCAGGATAGTTAAGATATGTGGACAGGTGATTGGAGATGAGATAATTAGGGATGTGTACATGTGTAATCAGCCTTCATAGCTCTTCATAGGAAGTCTGTTCAGAAATTAGTGGCATTAGAATGATCTGAGTATGAAGTTTCTGGGGGCCCTGATGTCAAAAGGTCATCCATTGGACACATGCAGGCTCAAGTGAAGAGTTGATGGCTTCAACAAAGATGATCTTTAAGTCCCTGAAAAGTAACTTAGATAACCATTATCACGACCTGTTCATCAGAGATGTAATCCATAGCAAACCTAGTGGAAGGCTAATGATCTATTGCTCAGCTGTGTGATCTCCAAAATTGGTGATGTTTAAAATCAACTAAAAGCAACTAAATCTGAAGCTAGGTTTTCCCTCCAAATGTTTGCCATGTAGATCTTTCATACCTTAGGGGCGACCCTGAGTCACTTTTATCACAGGAAGCCAAAGAATTAATTACTTTAAATGTTTGTTTTAACTCTTAAGTTCATTTTTCTTCTATACATTTTAAGGCATTTGCTTTGTATTTCAGTAGCCCTATTTTCTTTTGCTCCTTTGATTTTTCCTCCTTCCCACCTAGTCCCTTTTAAATCCAAAGCATAAGAGGGTGTGTGTGTATGAGAGAGATTAACAATAATACAACGATGATGATGGTGATGATGATGATAGCAAAGATAAAATTACCAAAGTGTTCTAGGTGAAAGAAAAGAAAAATGTACAAATTTTATTTTTTGTCTGCTCACCTGTTCTTACATGCAAGGTCATGTTGAAAGCATAGTTCACACAAAACTCTTGTGGTCCTTGCTTTGTTTTTGCCCAGAATTGAGATCCCCTTCTGATATATGGCTCAAGAGCATTATCCTGAGGCTACTAGGAGATAAAATATTACACATAAAATATTATTCCTTTTAGCTATGAGACTTTGAGTCAAAGAAATTAACTGTGGTCTTAAAGTTTGATTCCATACAATTGGCTCCAAAATGAACAAGATCTTGAGAAATTATTGGCTCTTACCTCTGCAAAGAAACTTTTAAATCATCTTACACAAAGCCCTCATTTTATAGATGGAGAAGGTGAGACCCAGCGATGTGGTACCTTACCCAAATTCATGTGTTAAAGTAATTGCAAAGATCCAAAACCTGGTTTTACAATCCCTGGTCCAGTGCTTAACATCATACCATTACCCCTCCACTGGGCTTATTCATTCTGAGTGTAAATACTTTTCTGAGTGACTACTTTGTTTTAGGTACTGGTATATGTGCTAAAATATAGCACCAAATAAAATTTCTGCCTTTGAGGAAAGACTACGAGGGGATGGCTTATGTGGTCACAGAAGGAACATTAGTCCAGACAGTGGAAAGAGTGAGTGCAAAGACCTTTGGAGAGATTATCTTGCATGTCTGAAGTGCAGCAAATAGGTTAGTGTGGCTGGAGCAGAAGTGTAAGTAACAGGTTAAGGTCAGAGAGGAAAGAAGTGTTGCAGGAGAGCATCAGGGAGCCAGATTCTACAGGACCTACATTTGTAAAGATATAGACCTTTAACCCGAGACGTGGGTGAGGTGCAGTTATGAGCAAAGGAGTAATCTCACCTCATGACACTGTAACAAGATCATTCTGGCTGCTGGATTGAGTCAGAGTAGACTGTGAGATAAGGGTGAAAGTGGGGAGATCAGTTAGGCAAGAAGTATTACTGAGATTCCCACCTCCAATCAAAATTTTACATAGTTATTTGTATTTATGACTGCTGAACAGCCTTTGAGATACCTGGGTAAATGAAACATTACCCACATGAATGGTAGGAAAATTAAATTAAACATTAAAAAAGGAATTCTCAATTCTGAGCTTCTAAGAGTAGTGTAAGACTGAGAACTCATAGGCATAGGAAAGCAAAAATAAACACCAAAACAAAATTTAAAGACATAATATTAAAAGATAATTGAGTTTGCATTATCCACAGAAGAAACTAAGATGAATCCAAATGATTAAGGTTACTCTCTTAGGTATACCCTAGAAATTAGTGCTCTGATGTGTGAGGGGTGAAAAATTATTCCCAAGATGTAGGCTCTCTATTCACCTCACAGATTGTTTCTTTTGCTGAGAAAACAAACCAAAAATACTTTTTAGTTTGAATCCATCCCATTTATTGATTCTTGGTTTTAATTCTTGCACTATAGGAGTCTTATTAAGGAAGTTGGGGCCTAATCCCAGATGATAAACATTAGGGCCTACTTTTTCTTCTATTAGACAGAGTCTCTGGTTTAATTCCTAGGTCCTTGATTCACTTTAAGTTCAGTTTTTGTGTATGGTGAGAGACAGGGGTTTAATTTCACTTTGTTGCATATGCATTTCCAGTTTTCCCAGCACCATTTGTTGAAGAGGCTATCTTTTCTCCAATGCATGTTTTTGGCACCTTTGTCTAATACAATAATTGTAATTTTGTGGGTTAGTCTGTGTTCTCTATTCTGTACCATTGGTCTACCAGTCTGTTTTGGTGCCAATACCATGTTATTTTTGTTACTATTGCTCTGTAGTATAAAGTCTAGTATAGTGATGAAAGAACTCAAAAAGAAGCTAAGCACCAAAATAAATAAATAAATAACCCAATCAATTAAATGGGCCAAGACCTGAACAGACACTTCTCAGAAGAGGATATACAATCTATCAAGAAATATATGAAAAAATGTTTATCATCTCTAGCAATTAGAGAAATGCAAATCAAAACTACTCAGATATCATCTCTCTCTAGTCAGAATGGCAGCTATTATGAAGACAAACAATAAGTGTTGACAAGGATGTGGGGAAAAAGGTACACTCACACATTGCTGATAGGACTGCAAATTGATGCAGCCAATATGGAAAGCAGTTTGGAGATTCCTTGGAAAACTGGGAATGGAACCACCATTTGACCCAGCTATCCCTCTCCTTGGTCTATACTCAAAGGACTTAAAAACAGCATACTACAGGGACACGGCCACATTAATGTTTATAGCAGCACAATTCACAACAGCTGAACTGTGGAACTAAACTAGACACCCTTCAGTAGATGAATGGATTAAAAATATGTGGCCTATATACACAATGGAATATTACTCAGTATCATGACATTTGCAGGTAAATGGATGGCATTTGAGAAGATAACACTAAGTGAAGTTAGCCAATCCCAAAAAAACAAATGGCAAATGTTTTCTCTGATATAAGGAAGCTGATTCATAGTGGGGTAGGGAGTGGGAGCATGGGAGGAATGGATGAATTATAGATAGGGCAGAGGGATGGGAGGGGAAGGGAGGGGGCGGGAGGTTAGCAAGGATGGTGGAATGTGTTGGACATCATTATCTAAAGTACATATATGAAGACACGAATTGGTGTGAACATACTTTATATATAACCAGAGATATGGAAAAAATGTGCTCCATATGTGTAATAAGAATTGTAATACATTCCACTGTCATTTATTTTAAAAAAATCAATTTTAAAAAAAGGTTAATCTCTTAGGGACATTTTTCTTTAGCAATAAAAAAGAACAGAGAACAGAAATGCTTCAAGGGATATTATATTTTTCAAATCACTAATAAACAACAGTTGCATTGTATCTTCTAGTTTATTATGTTTCCAAACACATTTCATGCTATCCAAATGATCCTATAAAGCTTGTAAATGTTTAAGGATGGGCTTCTCACTTCTGGCTTCACAGACCATGATGGTTATTCTCACTATACCATTTGCTTACCTGCACAGCTTGAAACATACTTGTTCCACACCATCTTTAATTATAAATTAAGGGTCAACTTGCCTCTTGAGAATTTGCCATATTTTCAGATAAGGGCTTCTTGTGCTCTGTGAAATGTTTCTCATTGACAAATGAAACTAAGGGATCAACTAAGAAAAATTTAATGATGTCTAGGTAGGTATGAGAAGGTAAATATTTGGGGGCATGTTTTTCTTATGGTTTAGGTATAAGGTATCCCCCAAAAGCTCATGTGTCAGACAATGCAAAAAAGTTTAGACGTAAAATGATTGAGTTATGAGCCTTAACCTAATAAGTACATTAATCCAGCTGAATGGATTAACTGGGTGGTAGTCATATAGACAATGGCTAAAGGAAGTAGGTCACTGGGGGTGTGCTTTTGGGATATATGTTTTTGTCCTTTTTAAGGGGAGTTCCCTCTCTTTCCTGATTGTCATGTCCTAAGCTGTTTTCCTTCTCCATACACTTCTGCCATAATGTTTTGCCTCAACTCAAGCCCAGAGTAATGGAGTCAGTCAGTTGTGGACTAAGACCTCTGAAACCAGGAGCCCCAAGTAAACTTTTCCTTCTCTGAAATTGTTCTTGTCAGGTCTTTTGGTCACATCAAAAAACCTGACTAAAACAGTTCTTTTGATTACGCTAGGTCTGGAACTCTCTAAGGAAACTATCTCTAGTATTAAAAACACCACTCTGGAACATTTGGAAAAACAGAGGTTTTACAATGATACGTAACAGGTTTGAAAAGGATATCTTACCAAATTTGTTAATAAAATAGTAAAATGGTCATCCCATTCATTAGATTAAAACTTAAATGGCAATAGCAACTTTCTTTTTTAATATAAATATTAAATTGGCTGTTTTGCTACGTCTCACCTATTTTGGTAGCTAGTTTGCATTATCAATTAGAAAAAAATTTACTTTGCATTTTTCTTTGATACATGATTCAAAGATGAATTTTCATCTTTTTTTCCAAACATATGCTGTCTTAGTCACTTGTCATTTTGGTTACCAGAACATCATTTTTTAAGTTGTTCTAGCCAAAAACAAACTATGACTCTTCTCTTATAACTCATGTCAAATCATACAGTTTTATCTTCAAAATATATTTGGAATTTCATCATTACTTTACCACTTCAATTACTGTCACTCTGGTCCAGATTTCCATTGTCTTCTACTTAGGTTACTGCCATAACTGTTCTCTATACTTTCAGATGTGGTCCCCCCTAAGAACTCTTACACCATAGAAACTACTGTGGTATTTTTAATCAAACCATTACTCTTTCATTTAAACATCCAATAATCCTATAACAATCTGCAATAATCCTCCTCTTCTCCAAAGTTCACTGGGCTTTCTTCACATTGGCTTCCAACATGCTATGTGGGTTCCCACCTTATGACCTTTGCAATGGATTTTGCCCCGAAGCTCTTTCCTGAAAAGAGACAATTGTAATTCCTCTGAATTAAGGATATCCAGAAAATGAAACATTTTATATATGGAAAGTTATTTTATACATTTTATTTAACTCTCAGTATAGTCAGAAGATTCCTCTGACCCAAGCTTAAATGAATATTTAAAACACGGAATCGGTAGAGATTGTTCTTGAGTATGTTGTTATAAAGTATTCCTCTGTTATAAGTAAGCAATATTTCCCAATTAAAAAAAAATCGAGATGCCTTATGGTTCATGAGACATTATCATTTTAACAAGAGAAAATCTCAGAGCCTTCGTCATTAGAGAGTTCTTATTTAAAAAGTGCTCCCCCTACGAGGTAAGTGAAATCAGATTTAATACAGAAAACAATAGGAAAATAAATGTGGAGAAAATCTGTTAACATGTTGGGAGTATTTTCTTACATTTTCCACATTTTTTGCTACACATAATCATATAATAAAGGAACATAAACACAAACCTGGTTATTTAATATTTCTCTCATAAAAACACCAGGCTTATTTCCCCATCCTCTTAGTTTTTGCCATTATGGTTCTCTGACAAATTTCTTTGTGACTGCTGCGCACGCTTGGAGTTGACAATGTTATTCTCATAAGTAACATTACCAAGTCAAAGGTTCTTAACATTTTTCAAGGTACAGCAAAATTTTACATTGCATATCAAAACTGTTACTGACGTCTACATTCCTCTTCATCAATTCACAAAAATACATCATCATAGGCATCTTTATTATATGCAAGCCGAGTTCTTCCACAAATTCAAAAATAAGGCCTAACCATATGAACCTAAAGGTCAGATCCCCAGACCCCAGTCGATTTCTCCCTTGGATTCACCTCTACTTATTAAGGCGCTGAGCCTACCTGCCCCACGCATTAGCAGACCTTCTGCTACTCCGCTTATGGGCCTCCGCAGTGTGCCTCTCGCTCAACTCCTGAGGAAGCCCAGTAACTTGAACTTGAACTTGGAGAAGGGCAGAAATGACCTGAACCTCACCAACAGCAGGCTGGGGGTCCGCCTAGCTTCAACAGCAGGTAAATCAGAAACCGTAAAATGCCCCAGTTCGCAGACGTCCCCACCTCCCGCCACTGGAGACAGCGCCCGACCCAAAGGTTAAGTGCACCTTCACCCCCGACTCATCAAGCGAGGTTGCCGCGCTGAGGGCTTCTCAGGCTCAGGCCCTGCAAAGCGCAGCAGCGGCGATAGGTGTCCTTAGTGAATGCCAGACCAGATGCCTCCAAAATCCCAGCAAATGTCGTACAGGCATGGAACAGGCGGCAAATCAGTGCCCCGCTGGCTAGGCCGAATAAGTCGAACGCGGAACTAGGGCTCAGGCGGAGGGCGACGCGGTGCTGTTGCTCTGCAGGTCCGGCCTGGCTTTGGACTGCGTTCCTTCCAGCCCGGGACTCTGCGCCTGCGCCCGCCCCGCAGCCGGCGCGGCCGCGCTTTCAGCTGCTGCGTGGTGTCTGGGGATCCTGGCGACCCATGGGTAGCAGCGAGGGCCACGATGACAGATTACGGCGAGGAGCAACGCAATGAGCTGGAGGCTCTCGAGTCCATCTACCCCGATTCCTTCACAGGTGATTTTCGGGGCCGCGAGCCCACAGCTGCCTCGACGTGGAGTGGGATGGGCAGGAGCCGCCTCAGGCCTAGGTCTCCCTGGCTAGGATGGAGAGGGGACCTTGAGGCCACGTGGCCACTCAGCCCGCCAAACTAAGTTTTTCAGCCACTTGCCAGTAACTCAATGGTTGTTTCCCCTTCTCCGATTGTTCGCTCAGATCTGAAAAGCGGGGAAACGCTGGTGAAGTCCCTGGAAACTGTCAGGCCTGGAATTGGGTCGGGAGCACGTTGGTTTCTGTGTAACCTGTATCCATCCGAGATTCAGTGAAATACACTAAAAGATACTCCGAATGAGATTAGTTTTCCCAGAGCCGCAAAGGTCTGAGTTTTCACGTACTTACCCCTAACTCGATAGAAGGTGTGTTTCATAGGATGGTGTTTGAAAAATTGTGGGATTCCGAGTGCTCTTCTTAGAGCAACCTAGAATCAGTGTTCAGAATAGCGTAATCCCTGGAGTTTGTCGACTTTCTTTCTTAAAGAGAAAGAAAAAGAAACACAACTCCTCTCCCTGGCATTCTGCAAAATGCCTCATGAATGATGTGGCCCAAATTTCTGTTCCGCTATAGGCTGGTACGGATATTAGACATCATCTAGTTTGAGACTTTTGCTACAAGTAAGATAACGGAGGCTCAGGAAAGGAAAGTGGCTTGCTTGCTTTGGTACCGCCTGCGAGTTAGTGGCAGGGATGATACTCAGTATTAGGTCCGGTACTCTGTCCTTTTTCCTCTTCTAGGCTTTGGGGCTTGGGATCCAGTTCCAACAGATACGAAGGAAAGCAGATTACTTATTGGTTGGGCTAAGATAAAATATTAGTGAGACGTTCATTAGCTATATTGAGAATTCTTACGTATTGAGTCATGCTTCAGTTGATTCTGAAAGTGCGATAAGGTAATTCTATCAGTATAGCTTCTCTCAGATTTGAGAAGTCCAGGTAAGGCCATTATGAATGAGTAGGCATTCCCCATCCTTTCCTTTAAGTGCTGTCTATCATTGATTGTCAGATATCAGAGTGTAAAATATATTACTTGAGGTCATAAACTATAACCCCTCTCCCTTTTATTGTTTAGGTTAGTTTTTTCTTGGTTCCACCCTTTGATCACTACTTGCAATGGTAGCAAATTTTGTTCTGCTTTGCCAACAGGCAGAAGTGTGTCAGCTACCCCAGTATAGCTCCAGTCCTGTTCATGTTGTCTCTCACCAGCAGTACAACTGTGCTGTGAGGATGTTAAGGGGATGAGTGAAGAGGGGTTTGAGAGTGTCATTACCTGGGTGAGTGTGTATGGAGTCTGGCTCCCTTCTCTATCCTTGCTTATATGTCAATGTCTAAATAAAATGGAATACCAGGGTCAGTTGTTGGATATATTCTTAATGGTGATGTTTGATGGTTTCCAATACTTTAGACGTATCACAGACATGAACTCTGTAGGTAGAGGCAAATCAGCATAGGTGTGATATTCTTTTCATTTTTTGGGAGGTGTTAAGGTATCTCTTACTATATATGTGCATATAAATAGTTAGAAAAGTGATATGTTTTTAGCTCTAAAATAGTTATGTAAGTATTTCAAATTGTATTATGCCATGACAGCTCTGGTATAGTTCAGTATGTAGAAATTTTGTCAGATACACAAGTGCTTGAGAATTCTGAGCCAGGGTAATACATGATATTTATGAATTTCTTTGATGCATTCAAGTATTCTACCGTTATCATTTGAGTCTACATCTCTAATTCCTGATAGCATTCCTATAAGTTTTGCAATAAATAAATTAAAATGTCTTGATTTATAGTTCTTAGGGATCTTTGTCTTGTGATTATGTTCTTTATGAAATGTCTTAGGGGAAAGGCAGAGGACTTTGAAATAAAATGTTTCCATGTTTTATCTTTTGAAATTTTGAGAACTTGTAAGATTTGCTGTTTTATATAGCCTTGTTTTGTTTGTTTCCATACTTTTGTATTTTTATGCCAGATTTAAGAAAAAGAGCTTACTTGTGTCAGTTTGTCAAAGAACTAATTCATAGTTTTCTAACTTCATTTTGAATCACAGTTATTATTAGATTTGGTAAATGCTCTTTGCTATTGATGAAGGAAGTAGATACCCACCCCCTCTTTTTTTCTTCCAATGGCTGGCTGAGAGCTAAAGAAAGCAGCATTTGTTAAGTACACACGAGTTTATGTGGATGCTGAAGAGGCACAGTTCTAGTGCATAGACCTATACTAACCTCAGAGTTAACAGGTTTTCTATTTGCAAAGACTTTTCGGTCCAGTGTTGCATTTGTTGTGAATTATAACAAATCATAATACAGTTTCTTCTTTTTGCCTATTCTGTAGCTTGATTGCACATTGATCCAACCCTCCTAACAACTAGTCTTCCAAAATTATAAATGGACTCTCCTGATACCACATTCTCCTTCAGTAGTGCTTCACTTGACAAGGTCCTGCTAAGGTAGTAGAATTTGGTTATTTCCATTTCTGTATCAAAATCTCTGGATGTGGGGAGTTTTGTTGAAATAAATTGGTTGACATCAAGTGAACCAAAAACCAGGTTCCCTTAATTCTGTTTGCCTTGCCAAGAGGTGAACATAATCCTGTATTTGCCCTGTCAATCCTGCATTTAACAGTTAGTATATCTTAGAGCAGGAGTCTCTTGTAAAAGCAGTTTTTCTTAAACATACTTTTGAAAGATTAAATACTCCCTAACAACCAAGGGGACTGATTTTAATATTGGCTTACTAGTTCTTTGTGGAAATCTAAGGTCATTTGTATGTTCTGCTAATATACCTTTTAGCTACTGCCTGTTATCTGTTTTTGGCAAAATCCTTAATTCTCTCCATCTCACCATTATCTGCCTCTATGTCACCTAACATCTCTCCTACCCTTCCGTTATGCCCAACAATCTTACTTTTTTTTTTTCCAAAATTATTTTGATCCACTCACAGTGGTGCAAGTCTGGCATCTGATACTTATCCCAGCTCACAGTAATGTATTAGATTGGGGTATTCCTTCATCAGAATTCAGGATCTCCATCTCTGTTTTTAGTTGCTGCCTTACTTTCACATACTATATTACCCCCTTCCCCATTTTAAAAATTGGTTCAGCTGTGATGGAAAACCCTAAATAACATTAGTTTTTGAAAGTAAAAGTTTATTGCTCTTGCACATAAGACTTATGGCAGGACTAATCCAAAAGTTCCTCAGGGCCGAGGCTTCTTTTGATCCTTTTCTTTGTCATCCCTAAAGTGTGTTCTCACCTTCTTGGCCTAAATTATGGTAGTATTCCCTTTTCAGGTAATAGGACAGATAAAGAAATTAAGCGGGGGTGAAAGCCAGCAGTTTCTTAAGGGAGTTCCTGGAAACTGTCAATGGACATTTCTGTTTTTATCTTGTTAAGTAAAACTGAGTCATTTCATGAGAAATGGGAAATGCAGCTTTTATTCTGGGACTGGTCAATATGCTCAATTAAAAATGGCATATCGAGAATAAGGGGAGAGTCAATATTAGGGGACTATCAGCAGTGTTTCCCAATATTCCTTTTCTTTATTGTACCTGATTCCCATTTTTTCTGTATAGTGACATCTTGATGTAGTGTCCTTGGACAAATCGTATAACTTCTTCAAGCCTATATATCTTTTTAATGGGAAATAATGTAAGTATAAATACTTTATATCCATTAAACAAATATAAGATACTTTTTTCTAGAAATTTACCATCTTAATTGTTGATTCTTTTAATGGTGTGACTTTATAATTCATTGCCTTCATCAACTAACAATTTTGATTTTTATATCCTTCGGTTGCATGTGGCCATGGGCATTCCTTGGCAATACCATCTAAAAATTTTGGCTTCTGAAATTCCTCCTTCTGTCCATAACCTTTGTAGCCCTATAGTTCTTTCACTGTAATGCTTTTAGAACTTCTTGTCATGATTTCTTATGGAATGGTAGTTCAGTTTTCTTTCTGGTCCGTCTTGCCTCCCTATTCAATCTGGCTCACAAGGTTCACTGATGTTCAGTGATATTCTTGCTCATATACCCATGGCCGTTTGACTTCCTCATTGACCAAATATTTATTTATATACATTTTTAAAGAACTCAGTCTACTAGGGAAACAGACATAATATAAATTTAGGGAAGAAGAGATAGCCTGAATTGTTTGGGAAAACTGAAAAGTAATGGAAGAGTTCCATTAACAAGTGAGTGAGACTGGGGGAAGAGTGTTTCAGCAGTGGGCACAGTGTATGCAGAACCAGGACTCAATAGATTATACAAAGGACAAGTGGTTTGGTATTTCTGGGATATAAAGTGAGAAGTGAGAGTCATAGAAAATGAGACTGGACAAATAAGCAGGGTCTAATCACAGAGGGCCTTGTCAGAGATTTAGATATGATCTTATAAGGCAATATAGTTCATTGTCCATTTTTCCCCTGTATAGCTATAAAACTATGTAATACACATTGTAGACATTGCCATATCAAACCCAGATCCTTATAACTGGTGTATTTTCACAAATAAAATATATTTCAGTTATGCATAGTTTCTAGTGTGTTGGCTGTATGATGCCACCCCTTTTTCACAACTGATCCAACACCACATATAGATAGAGAACTGCTGATATAGGCGGGTAATGATGTGGTAAAATCTGCTTGCTAGAAAACTCTTGAGAGACAGTTGGTAGAATGGGATGGGGAGAATTATCCTCCATCTCTTTCTGAAACTTTTCCCCTTGATTTGTTTAACATTGTTGTCTCTTGGTTTTGTTACTACCTCTTGGGGCTGCTTCTTGTAATCTTTGTCAGTTTTTTTCTTCCACTTAGTTGTTCTTCAAATTGAGGATCCCTTTAAAAGTGAATGTTGGCCTTTATCTCTCTATTACATTTTCTCCTCCATGATCTTATTTAGTTTGTCGCTTCTTTATAAGTGATCCCAATCTGAATTAAGGCCTGGTTCTCTTGTGTGTGTGTTTTTTGTTTTTTGACAGTACCTCTGTCTTTAAATATACCATGTTTGATTTTTGTGTGTGTGTTTTTTTTGTGTGTGTGTTTTGTTTTTTATGATGATAGTGGCATCATATCCTCATCCTGCAAACTCAATATCTGATAACCATCTTAACTTCCTCCCTGTTTTCTGCCATTCCCATGGCTGACAACCTAGTTCAGAACCTTCTTACCTTTACCTGATTTGTTATATCAGTGACCTAGTTTCATCTGTATCTAGTCTTGTTTCCCTCCTTCCATTCTGTATACTATTGCCAGATTTTTCTCCTGTGTGTAGAGAAAAAATTTTAACCACTATTAAAAACTGTTATTGATCATGCCTAAACTTTAAATTGTATTTTTCCCTAGTGTTTTTTGCTTACATATATATACTTCAAACAGAAAAAAATAATTATTCCCTATATGATCCTTAAGTTTTCTAATCATTATGATTTTGCTGCCATGGTTCCTTCAGCTATGTTCCCTTTCTCCATTTCTACATGCCACCCATGATTTTCAGCCTAACTCAAATGGAATTTCTCAGCTAGAAATATATATATATTTTTCTTTCTAAATGAAACTCTATATATCTGTTTAGTTCTGCCATTTACTAGTTGTAGAGCCTTGGATCAATTATATAAAATCTCTGTGTCTAAGTTTCTACATTATGAAATTGGAGTGATAATATAGTTAATCTTTTCTGAGACACATTTTTTACATTTTAACATTACTGAAATACAAACTGATTGAATTATGTGTCATAGCTCAATTGGTAGCTTTTTCTTTCTTAGTGGTATATAAGGTAAAGTGTATCTCATACTTGATGGCATCCTAAATTTAGTGAAATACAGTAACAGTTGTATTGTTAGAATTAAAAGATTTTTATGTAAATACATGGCACAGTCACAAAGTGATGCTAAATTTAGAATGTTAGCTGTTACACCTGGTATAGGATATCCCTGACCAACAGCTTCATGGAATTCTAGAAACAAGTAAAAGCCATTCAGTTGAACTCTTATTTCTAAAGTTGTTGCATCGTTTATATTTCGTGACATAAAAATGCCAAAATTGGTTATTTTGTAAACTTTGTTATAATGAGCTTTCAGTGCTTTTTCATCATGGGCTGGACTGATTGAGATCTAATCTAGTATAATGTGAATTCAATGCATCCTTCATCTTCCTGACCAAACACCTTTTTGGTAATTATAGATGTTCACCATTGCTTCAAGTACCTTACATTGCAAT